GGTTTAGCACTACTTTGTACAGTACGTGTTGGATAAACAATTTGATGTTCCCTTTTAACGGCATACCCAGCTTTCCACCGGCCAAGGAACGGCTTACCCTGCCTTTCAACCTTTAAAAGAATGCCCTACCCTGCCTTCCACCTTTAAAGGAAGGGCCTACCCTACTTTCCACCGACCAAAGAATGGGCTACCCTGCCTTCCACCGGCCAAGGAAGGACCTACCCTGCCTACCACAAGCCAAAGTAGGGGCTATCTTGCCTTCCACAGGCGAGGGAAGGACCTCATCTGTCTTCCACTGGTCAAGATTTTTTCAATTTGATCTCAGTAATTCCTTTACCTCTAGAAAAGGCAATGGACGATTGATCACATGTAAAAGTTGGGCCTGGTAGAAACATGACTACAAATGCAGCGGTCTGAATCTTGTGTCTTATTAATAATTAGTTTAATTGCATAGCCAAGCATTTAATGGAAACAGCATCTTGTATGTATGAAATGGCAAGTCACTGTTTCCATCGTGTTTAATTTAATAATTGTAAGTAACATACTATCCCCTGAATGCTTGCCCGTAACTTTCTTGCGCAAGGACATGATCATTCATTTCTTTTATAATGAAATTGGTCCCGTTGAAGAGACATTTCTTTGTGCTTAAGTTCTTGAGTAGAATAACAAGTGCACCCACTTTTAGTGTCAGTGCAAGTAGTGGCACGCTAGACGGTGTCATAGAATTCAGCCCATCTCATGGCATGTCAGACACTCTCAAGGAGTTCAGAACATGTGGCGGCACATCAGACGATGTTAGTTAGTTCAAGACCATAATTAATGTCGTCGTCTACATTGGTTACTTTAATAACAACACAACTTAGGTGCGTTTGTGCTTCTTAATCCAATCTTTTTAGAGTGGCTTCGTTGACGGCCCTGGTGTCCTTACTTTTGGACACAATGACTCTTTGGCTTAATGACTCGACCTAGTGTAGTCGGCTCTTTTTACCAAAATCCTCGTCATTAGTGTCTTCTTCGGCAGCACATGGACGGCGGACTTCTGTAATATCTTCATAGGGACCCGAAATACCGTCTCCATGGCCTGCTCTCCACCCGCCACCCCTTCTCCCCGCGACTGTGTGGCCTGGCCCCCGAAACAGTCGATCAATTGTTAGTCGAGGTCCTTGATCACAAGGCGTGGGCTGGAGGGATGAACACAGAGACCCGTGTTAACGATTTAATTTACGGCGACGCCCACCTGACGTGGCAAGACGTCGTCAAAATGGCCAGGGTCAACAAGACCCAACAAGAGAACGTCATGTAATATCTTTATCAAGATTCCCAGGGTTCAGTATTTCTCCTTTCCTAGTTTCAGTAGTTAATCAGCAAAATCTTGTTTGTGAAGGGTCTGCCCGCACATTCTTCTACAGTTGAGAATTTTGTTAAAGTGAGGCCACACTGGACTTCTTTTAACAAATGCACCTATAAGAGATGCCATGTCGCCTTGCTGTACAGCGGCTGAAGTCTGACAAAAAATTCCGCAGCAAGACACAAAACCTTGCCACCGAATGTTGAATTTTGTATAAGGTGTATTCGTTAGGTCTCACAACACCCTTTCAACTAAGGTTAACCGTGCTTTGAAGCCATTGCACATTCATCCCGTATGATCATCTTTGATGCAATGAGTGATTGTCCTTTAATGAACCTGGAAGTAACGTCTGAATTGGAGCCCCCCCCCCCACACACGTCAGTGCCGTTCCAAAGGTGGAATGGAGATTTCACCCGTCAGTAAGAAGGCGTGCCGCAATCCCAGTTAAAATCAACAGCCTCACACTGCTTGCCTTCGTCTCTTATGGTTTTTATCATTGCATAACGAGTGTATGACTTGACACTCCGACCTAGGCCGCCCTGAACAAAGCACCGTTGTCCAGCAAAGTAGATTTTAAATTTGGTACATGGTTCGATAACACGCATGGGGATGTTCAGGATTGCATTGGGATTTCGGCCCCTCTCCTTGCGATTCTTCAATGTCATTCTCTGAGTAGTTGGTGCCAAGCAAAAGTGATGGTATAGACGGCCCAATTTCAGCGCGATTCTAATTGCCCAAGAGCAGAGTATCTTGGATTTCTTTGTGAGCCACATGTTCACCTCTCACGTTGTGGTGTGCTCCGTGATGTTGAAGTTTTTCGTGATGGATTCTTTTTACGAATCCTAAAATGTCGTGGATTAATTGGATTGCATAATTTACACATCATTCCAAACCGTTCCCGTATGTCATAGAACAGGTGGTACGTAAAAAGGTGGGCGAGGCTCCGGTCATGACTTGTGATGAAAAATTTTGATGTAGTAGTTTTCAGTACAGGAACAAACCTCTGTGATTTATATTGTGCATCTAAACGTTAAGATAGTCACAAGCGCAGTTGAGACAGACAAAGTACAGTTGACAGACATAAGCACAGTTGGGACAAGCATATGCACAGTTGAGACAGACATGTGCACAGTTGAGACAGCCATAAGCACAGATGAGAAAGACATAAGCACAGTTGACAGACAAAAGCAAAGTTAAGACAGACATAAGCATATTTAAGACAGACATAAGCACAGTTGGGACAGACATAAGCACATTTGGGACAGACATGAGCACATTTGGGACAGACATAAGCACATTTGAGACAGACATAAGCACATTTGAGACAGACATTTGAGTCACCACGTAACGGTCACTGATAGAAACAACAACTCCAGGTTCACAGATGATAATGAGATGTTTTATTCATGCAATGAACAGCTCTTCTGTTTTCCTCACTATTGGTCAACTATCTCAATGTTTCTATAAAGCTAAAAGACACATTCGGGAATTACACTGTAATATAGATAATACATGCTTTTGAATTTTAGAGCACTAATTATTGTGCTGAATTGAAATCGAAATCACTGGTGGAGGTGGGGGGTTCTTGATGTTAGAAAATTTGCGATTGCCCCTCCCCCCCGGGGGGGGGGGGTGACTCAGCAGAAATAAAAAAACCAAAAGGCCAAAAATGACATATTTTATCTCTAATGCAAATACATGCTTTTGAATTTTAGAGCACTAATTATTGTGCTGAATTGAAATCGAAATCACTGGGGGAGGGGGGGGGTTCTTGATGTTAGAAAATTTGCGATTGCCCCTCCCCCCCGGGGGGGGGGGGGTGACTCAGCAGAAATAAAAAAACCTAAAGGCCATAAATGACATATTTTATCTCTAATGCTGTGAACATATCACGCCATCTTTTTTAGGAATTATAGTCACAATGGTACCTTCTGTTTTCACAAATAAACTCACTACATATCGCTCAAACAGCACAAGGTAGTAGCAGTATTACTATAATATTTATTCCATCGTATATTTAACGTGCATGTGTGTGTGACCCACCCCCACCCCCACCCCATCCCCCACGTCGTCAGTGGTTCCTAAATCTTTTCGCTTCCCCAGAACCTTTGCCAAAACTTAAGTTTTCACCAGGCGCCCCGTGTTTAAATTCTAACAAGTTCAAATCCAAATAACGAATAAATAAGCAAAATAAATTGAATGGTTGGGCAAGAATAGATAAAGCCCGTATGGTAGGTCACTAAGCATTATCTAGTATCTGCAAACAGAAGTTGCTCAAGTGTTTGCACCAAGATCACTAGATGTCACATTGGATTAAAAGTGGAAATAGCATTGTGAAAAGTGTCTAGTGTTTCACGGCGCGGAATGTGAGGAAACCGAAGTAACCCAAGACATCCACATGCCGAGGTAAAGAGGGTGAAGCCGGAAAGTGGTACCAGAAGAAAATGCGCCCCGGGCCGAACGAGTAAAATAGAGGATTTTGGCGCCACTTGTCTCTCTGAAGAATGTGTGATTTTGTGGTTGGATTATAGAGCTAGCCATTCCAGAACCTGGCATACGGGACAATATAACTTTACCGTGCGGAAACAGAAATGATATAATTAAAGCATTCAGGGAGCTTGAAGATGCATCGGTCACAGCTGGTCTTGACGTAAATGAAGCGAAGACAAAATATATGATGATACCATGAAGCACCCACGCTGATGACAACATCAATCTAAACAAAACCGTTGAGAGAGTGGCTACTTTCAAATATCCCAAATTAGTGGGTTCTTTTCCGGGAAATTGTAAAACAAAAAAAAAATTTTTCGAAGGAAAATTTGTTGATCAGATATTTATTGTTTATTTATTAAAGCTTTTTTATGATGATTGCGAGATGGAGAAATATAATCGTATTTTGTCTCTTTTTCGCGTTATATTTCTTGATAAACCAGTTTCTTTCGTACGAATTTCCGGTAACTTATTAGGTAGATTAGGGACTCTTTCACTAAAGTCCTTTGTTGATGGAGCATGCCTTAGTTGTGGACGGTACTATTTCAAGAGAGTGCAAAATTAAGAAGAGAGTGGGAGCTAGCGGTTCTCAACACGTGAGATCAAGTAGGTCTCAACAAATGCCGGAAAATAATACACCCAAACTCAGATGGAATTACTCACCACTTGTTTTACATTGGTCACGTTACAGACATTGCAGCTTCAAATAAAAAGGTTGCAATTTAATTTCCCTTTTTAATGCATCTCGAAAAGAACGTATTAGAAACCATGTGAACGTAAAACAATAAAAAGAGAACATCTTTGGGATATTGAACAAGGTAAACTTTCCCCGGTATCATCCTATTTCAACGGACATAAGCACAAAGCGACATCAGATGTTTCCATCACGGCGCTGATTTCCTGTACCAACACACCAGGGAGAGTTAGAAATGGAAAACAAATTAACGCAAATTTTTGGCACAATATCACCATATTTCATCAAATACTCTTGTACTTGTCATCTTCAAATTCCCTCTATCTATTTTCTTCTTCTTTTTTTAATTTTTTACATATTACAAAATATTTGTCTCCGTTGAAATCTTAATTTTCGCAGCTATAATGCATAAATTCTCTAACTTCCTTTTATCTCGGTTTTTAAAAACCCAACTTCCGACACTAAAATTAAAGGCCTACTCCAAATACTTAAGTTTTTAAAAGTATTTTCAATTGCTTGTTGTTTCTTTATTTGTCCTGTCTGCCGACGAAGGCTCTTAGCCGAAACGTTCTCTTTTTATTGTCCTGTGTTTATATTTCAAACTTCCACATACCTTGTTTCACTATTTCCTTCACACAGCTTGAAGACAGTACTTCATTGATACAAATTATGGAAGTAAAAAAAAAGTAAGTCAGTGATTAGCTATATTAAAATCAACTTCAAGATAGGGCTGTTTTTAAAGTAGAGAAAAAAATTCATTGCAAAATCTGAGGCAAGTGTACCAATGAATTGAATTTTTTTTTTTTTAAATTTATCTTTGTAAACAGGAGAGTCTTTTGAAAATGAAAGCGCTTTAGAATTTACTGCTTGTTAAAATTTAATCCCCCGTAGAGCTCACTGCTTATATATTCAATTTTAAGGCCCGCTGGTCCAAACAAGGACATTGTTAAGAACGGATGACCGTCTGAACTTATGAGAGGAATGCATAAAATGTAAGTTGGTATTTTGGTGACATCTAAGTATCTATATTAATGCACGTGGTACAGAGTATGGAAATGTAAAAAAAAAAAAAATTAAACAATTGGGAGTTAAGCTATTCATATGCCTTTAGCACTCTCGTAAAATATGCTCTTATGTCTTTCTCTTAAGATGAGCCGCTTGATAACATGGGATGATCTTTTCATCTCTTAAGAAGGAAGGGTAAGTGGGGGTGAAATGTAATTTGAAATTTTTGATTTGCACCATTTTAATTGAATGATCCCCCTAACTGTAATATGACATTCATTTTCTTCTCTAGAGTAGTTTTAAATTTTAATGTTTACAATTTGCTGTGAACAACGAGAAAAAAAAGGTCTTTTAAAGATTAAATTTGAGCAGTTAATTTTAAAGGTCGTATTTTATTTTATTCCCTGTGACCACGGTTGTTCTGAGTCAAATGTGACGCCTTGTAGAAATTAATGAATACCTTCATAGTTTTTTTTTCTGGTCTACTTCTTCACAGGTAACATATTATGGAATTCGAGGTGGCTAAGACATTTTTAATTAATAATAAAAAGTGAATGCTCTAATATCCCCCCCCCCCCTTTTCACAAAACAACAAAAACAAACAACAAAAAAAAAAAAAACAAAAAAAACAAAAAAAAAGAAAAAAAAAACAAAAAAAAACACCAAAACACAAAAAAAACAACAAAATATTCGTATCACCAAAAAATAAATCTTCGTTCCAAAATAAATTTTAAAATGAATATTTTACTCACTTGCAAGATTGGTAAATATTCGAAGTTGTTCGGCGAATTCAGTTAAAATGTCAACCTCAATTATCTGCGACAATCATAGAGAAACAATGATGAATTATAAAAGTAAATGATCTCTAGGGATAACGTTCCTAATCTAATGATCTATAATTAAACACTAACGATATCGCAATAAAAAATTCCTATTATTTACGAATGGGTTATAAGTTTAGGAAAACCCCCTTTCTTTTTTCATTTGCTCGAAAATGTCATCACTTATATTTTATTTTATTTGACCTAAGAGCTATGATACTTATTAATAAAAAACATAAGAGCTATGATACTTATTAAAAAAAAAATTATCATTTTCACAAGCCCGTATTATTTACTATAGAATTTTACATATAGGGTCCCACCCGTACGAACATTCTGCATCGTAAACTCCCAAAACAATCACGGCTTACCTGGTTTCCCCCGGTTGTCAAACTGGCAAGCTCTGTAGTGTTGTCCAGCCCTATACCCACACCCAAGATCTCTATGCCTCTGCTTCTTGCCACTGCGGCTTGGTACGCCGTCTGCTCACTGTGGAATGTTAACATAACTTGATTGTTTGTGTGATGGAATGAATCAAATCTATGTAAGAAAATGATGCCAGTAAGTGTAAATGAGCAAAGAATGCCTCGTATTCACGCCTGATTCATTTTATAAATGACACCTCAAAACTCAAAAGTCCCTGTAATGGCATGAAGGTTATGTTCACACCCTTCTCTTGCACCATCGCCCCCATCAGGTCTACCCCATCACATCACAACTATTACCATCACCATCACCATCTCTGCTATCACATCATCCCAATCACCATCACCCCATCACCATCACCCCATTACCCTTACCATCACCGCCATCACTTTACATCACCACCTTCGCCATCACCCCGTCACCCCGTCACCATCACCCCCATCACCCCAGCTCATCTCACCATTAACGCCACCATCAACCCCAGCAATGTCACCATCACATCGCCACCATCACATCACCCATCACCATCAACGCCATCACATCCCAAGAAAAAAACCCGCCGGGAGACAGTTTCATTCAACCCAACACACACCACGTAGTAGTTACATTGCTCATTCATGATTCACGACGTCCCTTCCCGGAGATCCGTCACTTCCCAAGGTGGATGGCTTCGCATCGAGCATTCCAAGACCCTATCAACAGCCTTCCGCTTACTGACTGTGTCAACATCGTATCAAAATCAAGCATACACTATATGAGTCTTTAAATTGCTTTTAGTTTACTTACGGGCTCATCGATGCCCCATCGGTCACAATCACCAAGATCTTTGCCACATTCTCTCTAGGATTTCTGAACAGAAGTTCAATCCCCTTTTCAATTGCAAGGTTGGTGTAAGTCGTCTCATCCGGATAGTCAAAAGACATTAGCCCTAATCATTGGTACAGAAACATTCTTGTAAACAAAGTTTTTTTTAGTATTATGCTTAGGCATAAAAATAAGTATCACTTTGAAAGCATTTTTTAAATAGATTTTTTTTTCTAATTTTTAAGAAACAAAAACAAAGTTAAACAGCAGTTTGATACGATGTTTAGTCGCTGTTTATCAGAAATTGTGTACCTTCTTGCTCGCTTTACTTAACCATATTACGCATTCAAACCTTGTTGAAAGTCCGTGGCGTTTGTCTGTAAGTCCAGAACGTCTTCCACATTGGAACTGAACAGCACGGCTCCAACTCTGACGTCATTGGGGCCAAACGTCAACGAATCTACAGCTTAAAGTATTTTGAGAGGGAAAAAATAGTTTTTACACCTGACGTTAAAAGTTGGGCATATCATTTCAAAATAGGCGACCGTCATGCATTAATACTATTTTATTTAGAAAGAAAAGCCAACGCATTGAGACAAATTATGAACGATGTGGTTGGAAAATTGGTCCTAAACACAATTTTGATAGAGCAATAAATAGACTAACTAGAGTAGACTTACCAGGAGCCCATTTCTGAAGGCATCACAGGGAGAAAAATGAGGTGGATAGGGCACAGAAAAGAAAAAACAAACAAAGACGACATCTCAAAACAATCCCTAACATGGAATCCACAGGGGAAAAGGAAGCGAGGAATGCAAAAGAATACATGGAGACGTGGGGTAAAGGCAGACGCACAAAGTATAGGACACATTGGGACTTGAGATTTAGGCAGACACACTAAGTATAGGATACATTAAGACGCGTGCTAGAGGAAGACCCACACATTATACCTTACGTGGGGACTTGAGTAAGAGGCAGACAAACAAAGTATTGGATACATTGGGACTACGATACAGGCAGACACGCAAAGTATTGGATACATTGGGACTAAGATAAGGGCAGACATACAAAGTATTGGATATATTGAGACGCGAGCTAGTTTCAGAAACGCAAAGCTTAGGATACACGCTGACGTGAGATAGAGGGACACACAAAGTATGGGATACATAGAGACATGAGATAGAGACAGACACACAAAGTATGGGATACATGGAAACATGAGATAGAGACAGACACACAAAGTAAAGGATACATGGAGATGTCAGCTAGAGACAGACACACAAAGTATGGGATACATGGAGACATGAGATAGAGACAGACACACAAAGTAAATGATACATGGAGACATGAGATAGAGACAGACACACAAAGTATAGGATACATGGAGATGTGAGCTAGAGACAGACACACACAGTATAGTATACTTGGAGATGTGAGCTAGAGACAGACACACAAAGTATCGGATACATGGAGACATGAGATAGAGACAGACACACACAATATTGGAGACATGAGATAGACACAGATACAAAATAAAGGATACATGGAGACATGAGATAGAGACACACACAAAGTATGTGATACATGGAGACATGAGATAGAGACACACACAAAGTATGTGATACATGGAGACATAAGATAGAGACACACACAAAGTATGTGATACATGGAGACATGAGATAGAGACACACACAAAGTATGTGATACATGGAGACATGAGATAGAGACACACACAAAGTATGTGATACATGGAGACATGAGATAGAGACACACACAAAGTATGTGATACATGGAGACATGAGATAGAGACACACACAAAGTATGTGATACATGGAGACATGAGATAGAGACACACACAAAGTATGTGATACATGGAGACATGAGATAGAGACAGACACACAAGGTATAGGATACACAGAGGGACACACAAAGTATAGGGTACATGGAGACATGAGATAGAGACAGACACATTAAGTATGGGGTATATCGAGACATGAGGCAGTCAGACAAAATATGAGATACATCGGATAACAATTGTGAAGCATAGCACAGGGCCGAGATGAATGGAGAACTCCCGTAGAAGGTCTATGCCTCAGGTAGGTTAAAATGGCGTAAGTAAGTAATAAAAATCATCATTTATCATGTAAGAAGTATCAACGAAAACAAAGGATATAGTGTATTTTTTAACTTTAAGAAAATCCCAATATTGAATTTGAAAAGAATTGTTTTGTGAAGCATTTGTAAGATTTAATGATGTAGCTATGGAAGAGAATAGGATATGAATGATGATGGCAAGATGTGAAATGAACAAATGTGATAGTTCCAGGGAAGGAGTTTTGAAAGAAAGTTCGCATGTACTTAAAATAGATATATAGCTGACACATGTGTTTAAGGTATGTTTAGGTCGAGAGAAAGAGATAGATAGATATATATATTTTGATAGATAGATAGATATTAGACAGACATATATATAGAAAGACAACGATGAAGAGAAGTTCTCAACGAACGCCATTGAAAAAAACAAACTCACCACCAGCAACACCGGCAATGATCCTATCAAAATTACGCTGGCCCCAACTGTTGCTACCGTCAATGAGAAATACGAGGTCTGCAGTGAATCGACACGTCACGTCTGTAACAATTTGATAAACATAATAAGAATTTGAGTCATCTGGCTGGTGCACGGCTGGTTCAGGGTACCGGTACCTCGAAGGGTTACCCTGGACAGGATGTGCTTAGGGCGCCATCAACGATCTTCCACATAGGTAAAAGCTTTGCAAGTGGGCACTAAGGAAGATTTTCTTTGCTGTTTTAGAGACTACAGGACAAGAATTATACGAACGAATACGGGTTTTTTTTTTTGAAAAAAGAAGCAAACTAAACTTCCGCAACTGCAGATCCCAGGTCTACGACAATGGTTTCAAAAATGAAGGGAACAAAATAATGGAGCGCAGGCACGGAAAATCCATACGGTTTCTACATATCCCGCTTATGGCATAGCCTTAACTGAATGGTTAGTGACAATGCAACAATTTACCCTCGAATCCATTTTTTTTTTTTTTGGTACTGTCCAGCGAATATATGTTTTAATTGCCCCTCCTGGACGATGGTATTTATGAAAACATGTTAACTGCCTCATTGTACAATCTTTATATGAGACTAGATGGGAGAGCAGAATTGAATGTGTCCACATGCAGATGACCCCACACATCTTCTTTTTTGAAAATAATGTGTTAAATGCAATACTGGACAGAGCCATGAATTCTTGATCAGAAATGTTTGAAAAGTTTCAAAATTTCAATAAGACATTAAGGATTTTTTAATGACCTAAACAATCTTCCGGACAAAGATAAGCTCACAGTATCATGTCAATGTTTGTAGAATAAGTTAAGGCATGAAGAATATAGCGATATAAATAGATGTGATCTATTGACTAAACATGATAGCCCGATAATTATTTCCGCATGATGTGAAGCTTCCAAGAGAACCCTCCAAATGTATAAGCACTACTGTGGTACTGGATGTCATGCCAAATCTCTGGGTAGCATTAAGAATAATGCTTACAATACATATTACTTGATGCGATCATGAGAGATTATAAAAAAAACATATTTACGATTATCCATCTCTCAAGATAGAAATAATTCTTTGGTCATTTTGTCTATATAAAATAATACAGTAAAGGATATAACTATAGAAGGTGCACTAAAAATATTTATCTTATCCAAAGACTAGAAAAACAAATGTCTACGGTAGGCAAATTGTTCATACTTCCCACGGTAGGCCAATTGCTCATACTGCCCACGGTAATCAATTGTTCATTCTGTCCTAACACAAGTTGAGAGCAACAATAATACTGTTAATTGTTTATTGCAAAAAGCAACTTAGGTAATAAACTCATACCTAACCTCTAGATTTTTCATTGAAAAAATTGTTATGAATATACTAAAAAGGGTCGCCAAAGTTAAGCTTGCCCGGGGCGCCAAAGTTAAGCTTGCCCGGGGCGCCAGCAACCATAGGACCGGATCTGGGCTGGTGAAAGGACCAACTATTTTTTGACTTTTTAATGTTTTTAATGTTTACACTACTTCCTTTAAAATATATCTATATCACGCAAGGAGTGTCAGCAACCCCAGCCTGAGTTTCAATAACCCCAGCCTGAGTATCAATACCCCCGCATGAATGTCAATACCATGAGTGTTAATACACCAAGCCTCAGTGTCAATACCCTCCAGCCAGTGTGTCAATACCCGCTGCCTGAATTTCAATACTCACAGCCTGAGTGTCAATACCCCCACCTGTCAATACCCCCACTGTGAGTATTAACGCCCCCCAGCCTGAGTGTCAAAACCCCCCGCTGAGTGTCAATACCCCCACCTGTCAATACCCCCACTGTGAGTATTAACGCCCCCCAGCCTGAGTGTCAAAACCCCCCGGCTGAGTGTCAATACCCCCACCTGTCAATACCCCCACTGTGAGTATTAACGCCCCCCAGCCTGAGTGTCAAAACCCCCCGCTGAGTGTCAATACCCCCACCTGTCAATACCCCCACTGTGAGTATTAACGCCCCCCAGCCTGAGTGTCAAAACCCCCCGGCTGAGTGTCAATACCCCCACCTGTCAATACCCCCACTGTGAGTATTAACGCCCCCCAGCCTGAGTGTCAAAACCCCCCGCTGAGTGTCAATACCCCCACCTGTCAATACCCCCACTGTGAGTATTAACGCCCCCCAGCCTGAGTGTCAAAACCCCCCGGCTGAGTGTCAATACCCCCACCTGTCAATACCCCCACTGTGAGTATTAACGCCCCCCAGCCTGAGTGTCAAAACCCCCCGCTGAGTGTCAATACCCCCACCTGTCAATACCCCCACTGTGAGTATTAACGCCCCCCAGCCTGAGTGTCAAAACCCCCCGGCTGAGTGTCAATACCCCCACCTGTAAATACCCCCACTGTGAGTATTAACGCCCCCCAGCCTGAGTGTCAAACCCCCCCCCCGGCTGAGTGTCAATACCCCCACTGTGAGTATTAACGCCCCCAGCCTGAGTGTCAATACCCCCGCTTGTCAATATCCCGCCTGTCAATACCCCCGCCTGTCAATACCCCCACCTGGATGTCAGATAAGGTTAATGCGATACCAAAGGTCCGAAAAAAAGTTATTTCATCGTGAAAGTCTTACTATTAATAAACTCACATCACTTGCCAATTCCCTAAAATGTTTCATCTTTTAAAAATACTTTTTATTTTACTTTCAATAAATACAGTTATATTTTACTTATATAACTTCTACAATACGACAATAAAAGTGATTACCATTATTTTTAAAGAAAAAAACAAAACTACCAACTAACTCTACCTACCTCCTAACAAGTCTAACTGCCGAGAAACAATTAGTCTCCTGTCCATTTTTTAATGACAGGGATCCACCCCGCCGCCCCCCCCCCCCAAAGAAAAAACAACAAAAAACAACAACAACAAACAACCCCCTGCTATTTCCTACGTCATTTGCTGACCACGCCACATAGCTACGAGGAGCTTCCGTGACGACGAAATAAACCCAAACACACGACAAGTGGAATAAACATTGACTGAAAACAACAGTAACAACGAACGCCAAAGTAGATAGCACAGCAGTTCCAGTTCATTAAGACCGTATTTAAGAGTTCAGGAAAATATCTCGAGCCTGGAGTGGTGGCTATGATTTCTGATGAAATACTCCAAAAAAACATATCTAAAATGTCGTAATTGAACGTTTGTGATCGTAACAGTGCCGCAGAAACATTGTCCCTACCTTTTATTTTAAATAGTGAAGATTTAATATAAAAAAAATTGTGAATTTGGTTTTAAAGTGTTTTTTGATGTGTTGAGAATTGTCGTTAAGGTCATCAATGTCGTCAGTGTCATCAATGTCGTTAACGCCATCAATGTCGTTACTGTCATCAATGTCGTTAATGCCATCAATGTCGTTATTGTCATCAATGTCATTAATTCCTTCAATGTCGTTATTGTCATCAATGTCGTTATTGTCATCAATGTCATTATCGTCATCAGTGTCGTTAATGCCATCAATGTCTTATTGTCATCAATGTCGTTACTGTCATCAATGTATTTATAGTCATCAATGTCGTCGACGATATCAGTGTCGTTAATGTCGTCAATGTAAACAAATAATAATCAAACAACCCGCAAAAACACAATTTTCCGTCTAAATCCTTCATAAAATGTGATCTTGAGTTGAACATTTCACAAACCACGCATTGAAATGACGCGTATGAATCTCAGTTAGAGCTCCTCTTCATAAGGATCGCAACCGCAAATTGTCCGATGCCAATGACCTATATTAATATTCTAGTGACCCCCCCCCCCCTTTTCCGTCCCGCCGCCTTTAAATACAAGATTTATTTCATCAAACATTTCAGAAACTAAACACAATAAAATAAACGCACTTTCGATATTTGAAAGAATCTCATTTGGCGCAGTTAGCGGGAATTTTATTTCGTGAAATCAAAGTCATCATAATTCCTTCATCTTCCCCTTCAAAAACTAACTTTTTGTTTGGGGTGGGGGCTGATAAGTTGTGAGGATATGCTGTCATGGGAAAAGAGTATATGTGCCAATTTTCAGCTCGATAGATTGACTGGAAGTGGGGCCAATGAGCCGTCCGAGGAAATACACGACCAAAAGCGAAGTTAATGTAAAAGGACATAACGGGGAAAAAAAAGACAAAACAAGCCAGACTTTTGTCTTTTAAATATATATTTTACTGGTATCTTTATTTCCTATTTATAATACTTAAATTCTGTCTCTTCACCAATTCGCACCACTAAAAGAATTTTAAAAACCATAAAGGATTATTAAGGTCAACGAACCCCACTATACCAAATCCACCAAGTCTGACGTCGTGAATCGAGCGTTTTTTTAAGATGGAGACTGATAAAATCCTCACAATGATGGTGAGTAAACGATGGTGAGTAAACGATGGTGAGTAAAATGATTGTGAGTAAATGATGGTGAGTAAATGAGGGTGAGTAAATGATGGTGAGTAAACGATGGTGAGTAAATGATGGTGAGTAAATGATGGTGAGTAAACGATGGTGAGTAAATGATGGTGAGTAAACGATGGTGAGTAAATGATGGTGAGTAAAATGATTGTGAGTAAATGATGGTGAGTAAATGAGGGTGAGTAAATGATGGTGAGTAAAATGATGGTGAGTAAATGATGGTGAGTAAACGATGGTGAGTAAATGATGGTGAGTAAACGATGGTGAGTAAATGATGGTGAGTAAAATGATTGTGAGTAAATGATGGTGAGTAAATGAGGGTGAGTAAATGAGGGTGAGTAAATGATGGTGAGTAAATGATGGTGAGTAAATGATGGTGAGTAAATGATGGTGAGTAAAATGATGGTGAGTAAATGATGGTGAGTAAAATGATGGTGAGTAAATGAGGGTGAGTAAATGAGGGTGAGTAAACGATGGTGAGTAAACGATGATGAGTAAACGATGGTGAGTAAATGATGGTGAGTAAAATGATGGTGAGTAAATGAGGGTGAGTAAATGAGGGTGAGTAAATGAGGGTGAGATATATTTTTTTTTAATTACGCTTTCGGTGAGACAATGATGACGATAAACCACCTGAATTACCTTGCTGGTGAGATATTGTCATCAACCAGAGGAGAAGGAGGCAGGATGCGCCCCTGGACAGTCCCATACGGTCAACTTGCACCCGACTTGTAAACGAGAATACCATATTTCTGAAACAAGAAGTAAACCCTTCAAGCCTCATGTTCTGAGTGACACCAACGTACATTCACGAATTGCTGTGCATCTTCACAATTAAAACCCTTCATGTAATGAGAGCTGTTGTAAGCATTAGACCAGGTGAGGCAGCATTTTAAAAAAAAAACTGAAGAAACTAAAAACATGATTTTTTGTTGTTGAAAAAAGGTTCATTTTGAAGATTTCAAAGCAGAATACTTATGACATATTTAATGATAAAGAATTTGAACGATCTCTAAATTTCTTAATAAGATTGAAAGTTAAAGAAATAAAAACTTTAAAAATACAATAAAACAAGGGTTGAAATTTAATTTTAAAAAAATAAATATGTCATATTAGCTTTTGAATATATTATCTTAAATGACAATTGCTCAATATCTTCTAAATAGATTATCTTAACCAACAATAGCTCAATATCTTCTAAATAGATTATCTTAACCAACAATATCTCAATATCTTCTAATAGATTATCTTAACCAACAATAGCTCAATATTTTCTAAATAGATTATCTTAACCAGCAATAGCTCTATTCTTCTAACTAGATTATCTTTAACAACAACAGTTCAAAATCTTCTAAATAGATTATCTTAACCAACAATAGCTCCAAAAAAACCAACACCCCACTGGCGTATCCCAATAGTTATCAACACGAGTCTATCATAATAAGTGAAGGAAAATATATTCAAAAACATTAAAAAAAACCCAAGATTGTTACAACTCACACCATGGGTCTATCGGAATATCTTATAACAATGACCTGTATTGTAACAACTTAAAAGCCATGTCCTTCTCAACCGACATTTCTACTGTAGCAGCCGTGTCTTTTTTTTTTAAAAAGCATGAATATTTTCTATATTAGAGGGGTGGAAAAAGCACAACCTTGTTCAAACAATAAAGTACAATCGCCCGATGTTATAGCTTTCCACTTACGAATTTGAACTTGTTAAATCCTGGACACAAGACGTGAATTTTCCTTCCACTGTATGGAGAGAAGCCTTAGTCTCTTCACTAGATGTGTCTCATACAAGCGTCGTGACGTATAACTTACTTTGGGCTTCTTTGGCTTACTTCTGAATACTATGCAAACAGTCAGTCAGAGGCGTGTCGTTCCACTGACCTGAATTATTATAATGGAGAGAGCGGAGGTTGGGCTATGCACTTTTTAATAGATGAATAGATTTTTTTTAAAAATTTTATTCTATATCCTATCAGGTGATGGAGTTGAACGGCAGCCGTACTAAAGAATATGAGGGGGGGGGGAGGGAAGGGTGTGAGGTAGGGGAGGGGATGGGGTTGGGGGAGGGGGGGAGGTAGGGG